GGTGCACCGAGCCCCAGCCTTGCACGCTAAGCCCCAGGGGTCCCGGGGCCTCGTTAAAACCGCCGGCTGTGCCTCTCCAAAGGCCAAGCGTCGTTGCCTCCTCGACCCTCAGCGTCCTTTTCTGCAGGCAAAAAATGTCGGAGTTTGAGAGCTGGGGCTGGCTTTGAAAGATCACGGGGTGAACAGTAGCTAAGGTGGAAATGGGCTTTCTAACCGTAACTGCCTCAAAATGCCTGACGTAATAACTTTCAGGAAGAAGAAAATGTAGCAAAACTTTATAGGATTTTGCTTTTTGTCTTTATGAGGGGCGTCTCCCTAACACGGCCTGGCCCTGAGCTTGTGACCCTCCTGTCACAGATGAGCAGCAAAACTGTTTTCAGAACCGGGCGTTGGTGGCGCACGCCTTTAGTCCCAGCACTCGGGAGACAGAGGCAGGCGGATCTCTGAGTTCGAGGCCAGCCTGGTCTCCAGAGTGAGTTCCAGGATAGGCTCCAAAGCTACACAGAGAAACCCTGTCTCGAACCCCCCACCGCCACCGCCAAAAAATAAAAAAATAAAAAAACCTTTTCAGAAAAAAATTTAAGCTGAAGTAGACAAAATACATTACAAGGCTTAATGAGCTACAAAATGAGACCTGCTTCTATCCCAGCTCGAGAGAGAGAGAGAGAGAGAGAGAGAGAGAGAGAGAGAGAGAGAGAAAGAGAGAGAAACAGAAACTCCCAGCCTGGAGCCAAGAGGGGGGAAGAGGAGAAAGGAGGAAAGTTAAGGGCAAATAAATTTGAAAATTTGAGGCACACAGGTTAGAAAATGTGTATAGATCAGTAGCTAAAAAGAAGTTGAAAGGATTGGCAAATACATAATGCCTTCACTCTCCCTCTCCCAATTTCTGAATGAGTTTAAATATGAATCTCTTTCTAAAGGAACCATTAAATCTCACAAGTGAGTTTTGATGTATTATGATTCCATAATAAGCTTGTCATGACATACACCTGTTAGGAGTAACTTTTGAGTGCTTATTTGGAGAGAAATGTAAATAATAAACATCTTCAAACAGATTTTATAGTAGGGCAGGCAAAACGGCTCAGCAGGTAAAGGTGCTTGCCACGAAACCCTGGGAACTGGAATTCAATCCCCGAAACCTACATAAAGATACAAGAGAACCAACTCCACACTTGCAAGTCTACACACAGTATGCATGAATGCACCTAATAATTTTAAATTTGGGCTTTTAAAAATTGTTATTGTATGGATGTTTTGCCTTTGTGTATGGATGTTTGCCATGTATGTGCCTGGTCCCTGTGGAAGTCAGGAGGCATCAGATCCCCTGAAACGAGTTACAGATGACTGTGAGGTGTCATGTGAGTGCTGGTCATCAAACCTGGCTCCTGCAAGAGCAGCCAATGCTCTTTCTTAACCTCCGAGCCATCGCTCAGTTTCAATTTAAACTCAGTATGGTGGCAATCCCAGCAAAGAGGTTGAGGCAGGACAATTTCCACAATCTGGAGACTGGGGAGTGTTGGACCACCAGTCTAAGCTACAAAATGAGATGTCTTAAATTACAAAAGAAAAAAAGTTTCCAAACTGGGAGTGGCAGCAGAGGCCTTTAATCCCAACAGTTGGGAGGCAGAGGTAGGTGGATTTCTAGGAGGTCAGCCTGGAGGACAGCCAAATTTTAAAAAAAGGTTTCTAGTCTAGTAATGGGAGAGGTAGTATCTTATGATCCAGTAGAGGAAGGGTCAGAACACAGCACAGGGTGGTGCTCCCAAGACGCAGATGCTGCTGGATGGATAACTTTGCTGACACCTGTAGGGTGAGGGTGGGGGAGTGGCGATTTGGCTCCTTGGTGTTTTCCCCTTACTTGGTAAACAGATGGAGGACCTCTATGTGATTATGGCTCATGTAGAAAACTGGATTATTCCTTTTCTTCTTCAGTTGAGCTATATTCTTCCTTTAGGAAACAGACGGCAGCCTCTTAATTAATGGTGCCCAGAACCAGACAGCTCCTGTAGAAACAGATTTGCTGCTGTGGAAAGAGAGAGGGGGCCTGACTTCACCCAAGCCCGAAAAGTGTGCCAAATATGTAATAAGTTTCTGTCCATCTTCCCAGCTCAAGAGTCAGGATGTCTCAGATTTAACAGCAGTTGAGAGGGAAGACTCGTCATTACTTACTCCTGCAGCCAAAAAGCTGAAACTGGACACCAAAGAGAAGAGAGAGAAGAAGCAGAAGGTAGACGAAGATGAGATCCAAAAGATGCAGTGAGTCTTCAAGGGTTCCATCTCTAAGCCCGTCAGCTCTGCACTCACTCTTACTGCTTTTTGTGTGCTCTGAGGCAGGGTCTCATGAGCTTTACATTAGTCTTCACCTCCTGGTCCTCCGCCTCGGCCTCCTTAGTGCTGAGATTACAGGCATGAGCCACTCACTATGCCTGGATATAATTGCAGGCCAGCAAGCTGCAGGATAAAGGTGCTTGCCTCCAAGCCTAATGACCCGAGTTTGCTCCTGGGAACCCAGGAGGTGGAAGGACAGAGCCAGTTCCTGGAAACTGTCCTGTGACCTCCAAACACAGGCATGTTCCTATAAACACAAAATAAATGTGTAAATGTTATTTGTTTCAAAATGTTTAAAATATAACTTAATTTGGTCAGTGTTTCCCCATCAGTAATTATACATCAAAATCATCATTTTCTTCAAAAAAACTTGATTTTGTGGTTGCAATAACATGGGCTCATTGCAGATAACTCAGAATATCAAAAAAAAAAAAAAATCCAGCTGCTGAATCTTATCCTAAGAATGTATTTCTGGGTATGTCTGTGCATGTAATATCCTCATAAACATTAGTGTTTCCTGGTTGTGCTACATCTCATCTATGTGTGAATCAAATCAACCCCTTTACCTATTCTATTCTAGGTAGTTTTTAAAATATTGTTTCTTTTAACAACACTGTTACATCTTTGGACATACCTATACATCTCATCCATTTCTAAGATTAACCAGCTGTATAAACACTAATATGAACATGTTTCAAAGGCTTTTCAGCATATCTCCCGATTTATGAAAATTGTGATTTTGTTTTAGTTGATCATTTCAAGTTCCTTGATTAATACTTAAGGTTCATTTTTTTCCCTCCATCTTGATTAGCCATTGGTATTTCTATGAATTTCCTGTTTTAGTTCATCTTCTAAACCTGGTTTGGCCATCTTTTTATTTATTTAAAAGAGTGAACTGTAAGAACACAGGGGGCTGGAGAGACTGCTCAGAAGTTAAGAGCCATCCGTCTGTCTGACAGGACCAGTGAGGACCTGGCATTCCCTTCTGGTGTCTGTATGCACCTGCACACACATGTACACAGACACACACAAGCAAACATATTCACACAGATAAGTTTTAAACAGATACAGCCCAGCATTTGATGGCCATCAAGCCGGACAACATGAGTTCGATACCCATGACCTCCATGATGGAAGGAGAAACCTGCTTACCTCAGTTCTTTCATGTGTCCCCCACAACTACACACCCTACACGTGCATAGCAGATAGACTCAGTAGTTTAAAATGCTGGGGCTGAGGCTGTCAAAGACTGCCTGCAGAGCATGCAGGAAGCCCTGTGCTAACGCAGCACTAAGTGAAGCCAGGTGTGGTTGTGTATCTGTAATCCCACCCTCTGGAAGGTGGAGCAAGGTAGATCAGAAGTTTATCCTTGATGACACTGAGTTTGAAGCTAGACTGAGGTATATCACGTCTCAGAGTTTTTCTAAAGAATATATATGTTTTGATGTTTCCCTCTAAACTTAATGTTGAAGAACCGTGATGTGAACAGAAACTTGTGAACTAAATGTTTACCGTCGGTGTGAGACAGTGAGCACAGATCACAGCATGTGTCCTCGCTCCCTGAGCATGGCCTTCCACTCCTCAGCAGGCGTGCACCTCCACACCCAGCTGCTTCTGTCTTTAAGGAAAGCAAGTTTTATGTTTCCTTTTTCTCTTCCCCAAGTTCCTTAGAGTGGAAATGTTTTGTTGCTATTCCTCAAGAGCACCAAGCCTACAGCCACCTAGTCCTTGAAACATGTTTTTTGTCTGGAGCTTGTTTTTGTTGATTTATTGCTTTAGTATTCAATGTCATTAACAAACTTAATTACCTGAATCTTTGTCTAGAATCCTGGTCTCTTCTTTTTCTGAGGAGCAGCTGAACCGTTATGAAATGTATCGCCGATCAGCTTTCCCTAAGGCAGCCATTAAAAGGGTAAGGATGGACTGTCCCAGTGTGTTCCTCCCCATCATGTTAGAAGATGCTGGACTCCACAGCTGTGTCTTCAGCATCTCAAGTGAGCTCATGTTAATTATAGCGGAAGATAACATCATCTGTCATCATCTGGCCAACTCCAGCCTTGTATGCCAGGTGTAGCAAGTCATGGCACACATTAATCCTTGGGGGTTTTTTGTTTTACTTTTTTTGTTTTTTATTATCTGTATGTACCATACGAGTGGGTGCCCATGAAAGCCAGAAAAGGGCATCAGCTCCCCTTGACTGGAGTTACAGGTGGTTGTGAGCCACCCAATATTGGATGCTGGGAACTGAACTCTAGTCCTCTGAATGAGCAGCAAGCACTCAGAACTGAGACTGTCCCAGGTCTCTATTTTAATAGTCTTGTCTCAGCATACAGCCTTCAGTGTGGCATGCACTTACAATACATTCCAAAGCCAGTTGCTGCCTATCTTAACACAGTCTTTCTGTCTTCCTTCCAAGCTGATCCAGTCCATCACTGGTACTTCTGTGTCCCAAAATGTTGTGATTGCCATGTCCGGTATTTCTAAAGTTTTTGTGGGGGAGGTAGTAGAAGAAGGTGAGTATCGTTGCTTACACAACATACATTGCTCTCATGAAGATCTTATTTTCAAGAGTATGTACACCAAGGCATTTAAGAGTCTTTGGGAGTTTCCAGCCACACTAGAAGTTGGTCCTGTAGGGAGCTTTGTCTTGAGAGATTGGCTGTTCTTGTAATTTTTACCAATGTGTGGGGGTAGGGGGACGAGATGTCCAGGAAATCCCTCGCCTTAGCCCAGGGTGACAAAAGTTGTTTTTCCTCAGCAGACTTTGCTTCTGCTGTTGAGTATAAGAAGACAAGCCATGCCCTGCTAGCAGTACCCCCCCTGGGAGCTTTCCCTCCATCAGGTAGAAAGCCGGCTGCTTCTCGTTGCTCATCTCTAGCTTGTGATGCCATTTTCTCTCCTTAAGCTGTGACAGTCCCTGTGGGAATAACTGAAGCTAGTGTGATAGACCTTAAAACAGTCTCTTAAGGAAAAACATGTCTGTTTGTTTCACTGGCAAGTTTCACCAAAGCCAGGCTTATAACTTGGGTTGTGGTTAGTAAATCGTATGCTGACGATGCTGTCTCCTGTCCCCACGCCAGCCCTGGATGTGTGTGAGAAGTGGGGAGAGACGCCACCACTGCAGCCCAAACACATGCGGGAGGCGGTGCGGAGGTTGAAGTCCAAGGGGCAAATCCCCAGCTCTAAGCACAAGAAAATCGTCTTCTTCTAGATCTGACCCGGAATGGCCCAGACCTCTCACAGTTGGGCTTCTGCACCGGTGCTTTGTTATCGGGGCTCCAAGGACCCATGACGATGACTTTAATATCTGTCACACCTACAAGGCATGCCAGGAAGAAAAACAAAGACAACTCAGGTGGCTTCACTTTGAAGCCTAAAGTTGTTTCTTGCCTCTGGTTTTCAAAAACTTAAGAACTTGGGATCGTCTGCCATGCAGTCACAAGGGTGAAATACTTAATGCTGTTTAACATTTCAGATTCTCCTGTGAATTGTGTGAGTTATTAAACTCTTTCCAACTCGGGTGGAAAAGTTTATTTTATTTTGTTGCAGGCAAAATTCATTCTTCTAGTGTCTAAATAAAATTAACTAGTCTTGGTGTTTTCGTTTTGGTTTTTGGAATCAGGGTTTCACCATGTAGAACAGGCTGGCCTTGAACTCACAAGAGATCCATCTGCCTCTATCTCCTGAGTGCTGAGATTAAAGGCATACACCAACACCACTTTTTTTTTTTTTTTTTTTTTCCCCTCCAAAAACAGATTGTCACTATGTAGCTCTGGCTGTCCTGGAACTATGTAGAGAGTAGGGTGACCTCAAAGTCATAGAACACCACCATTAGAGCCTGGCACTAGTCTTTCCTTTTTCTTTTTTTGCTGTTGTTTTTTTTTTTGGGGGGGGGGGGGTGGGTTTTTTTTTTTTTTTTTTTTGGTTTGGTTTTTCAAGACAGGGTTTCTCTGTGTAGCTTTGGAGCCTGACCTGGAACTTGATTTAGAGACCAGGCTGGTCTCAAACTCAGAATTCTGCCTGCCTCTGCCTCCCATGTGCTGGGGTTAAAGGTGTACATCACGACCACCTAGCTAGTCTTGCCCTTTTCATGAAAAAAATCTGCTGGAAATCAGACCCTGAGGGTCTCCATGCATAATAGGCAAGCATGAAAATAACTTAGGTATATTCCAGTATCCAGCACTGTTTACAGGCATGTAAATCCCACATTTGGCCAGGAGTCATGAGTTTGAGGTCTTATTACGTACATAGTAAAAATAACCTATCTAAATAAAACAAACACATGTAAAAGCTCATCTCCTTCAACTCCTACAGACAGATACACAAGGACCAATGCTGTTTAATTTTTTTTTTTAATTTGCTTTTCAGGTGGTTCACAGAACCAGTATACTCAGGGTTTGATTAGATATTGCAACATTAAAATTTCCCAATACTGACTAGGATTCCAGTTCCTTGTATACATTCTCACTGCTCTCCTCGGAGAATGAAGTGACTTTATTGACAGTGATTAGCAGTAAGGCTACCTGATATAATTGGCAATCGATCCACTGGCCTGTTTCCCATCCACTGTTGAGTGTCACAGGAAGGCGGCTTGGAAGCTGCTCTCTTCTGAAGCTTTCCTGAGCAAGTCTTGTTTTTAGCACCCTGAGTTAGGGAAACAGCTCAGACTCACGTAATTGGACAGATCTGACTTTTAGTAGCTTACATTAAAACTCATTGGCTTAGCCAAAGCAGAAGACACCAGGGGAGCACTCCACAAAGATGCTGGGAGACTCAGGCTAAATTTTGACCAAAAACTAGTGAACTGACAAAAGAAAATTTTCAACTCTAATAGGAAATTCTTAACACATTAAGAACTACTTCTATTTTGATTAAAAAGGTACCAGTTAAGGCAAGAACATAATAGCAGGACAGGAAGCTCAAATCCCAAGTCTGGCCACTCAGACCTCACTGTTAAGTTAGAGTGCTTGCTTGTGCCATGGAGCAAAATGCCTCACCACTGACAGCCACTCTCCATACCTACCCTGGGGATATGGGGCACCTGGGCAAGGCCTAGGGCTCCCAAAGGATTGAGTGATCTCTGAGTCTCCAAGACTTAGTCACCTAAGTCATGCTGCCACAGCTCTCACCCAGGTGTTAATCTACTAGCTTGGGTAGTAAATCGCTGTTTTCAATGTTGTGGCCTGGTGTCACTGATGTTAGAAGTTTAGGCAGAAAGACTTGAGTTTGGAACAGAGAGTTCCTACCCAGGAGAACATTCACTGCCTCCTTTGTAGGGCTCAATCTCGAGCCCCTAAGGGAAAATAACATGAATTAACAGCGGACATTTGAGTTACAGAGTCTGTAAGATGTGGTATCATCTCTTTCTAGTTCATTCCGTAAGTACCATTCCTTCAGAGCACAGAAAGATGATTACAGCCCATGGCACAGTAAAAACAGCTCTTAGGAGAAGACAGCCCATGTTGGATTTTCATCAGACTCAGTTATCACTCCAGTGAAGTAGACATTGACAGCCATTGCTGCAGCCCAATTAGAGGACACAGCTACACACACGAATGCACACTCCCAGTACATGCATGGAAACAGGAAATGCAGACAATCACAGATGACGCAGTTGATTAAGAGCTTTACAGCTGATGATGGTGTGCAGTGGCTGAAGTCTCTGAGGACAGTGTTGCTGTCCCTCCAGAAGTTTTCTTGAGGTATTAGTTCATTTTACAAACTGCAGCTTCACAGCAAAACTCTGCCCCACGCTTCATTCTGTTTTCTTTTACCCTTGTCCAAGATATTCCCACTGCCAATTCCTGTTTCATTATGAAATGCTCATCCCCCAGTGAGAAGGGGATTGAATTATAAGAGAAGTCATCATTGAAAATCCCATGGAATAATAATTTTACCATGTTTCCTAAGGGATGACTTCCAGACGTAAAAGCCAAAGTCACCACATTAGCCAAAACTCTGTCTCCATTTGCGCACAGACGAGAACCCCAGACCCCCTCAGCTCAGAAATCTAACACTCTGACCAGTAAGGCATTATCCCTGACAAACATGTTTCTACTGCAAGCTTGAGGGAAATGCACACCAAGTGTTACTATGTATCTTCTCATGCAGGGGTGCCAGAGGGATGAGATGGCACAAAGGAGGGGATGTGATCTGAAGCCAATTCAAGTGTTCCTCATGTTGAATGACTCTGTTTTCTAGTTACTGGCTTTCCCCCTTCAGATGCTGCTTCTCACACAAGTTCTGCAAGTTTCTGACGTTACAAAAAGTGCTTTCTTTTCCCTGAGGCAATGACAGGGCCCTAGAACTAATGTTTCAAAGCTGGGCTCCCCCGACTCTTGACCGAGTGTGTGGTCACCTTGCATCTCTGCAGAACCGTCTCCATTTCCACTGCACGTCCCCAATCACCCTCCCTGTCCTCTGAACCTGTGTTCCCTTCTCTATGTCCTAGATAAAGCCAACAGAAATGCCCAGGGGTTGGATGACGCTGCTCTTGCCAGCCGTGCCTTCCTAACGACACGGGGAGCAGGGTCAGGCGCAGCATCACAATGGTCCCTCCTCCCTCAACATACGTCTGGACCCTTTCCTGAGTATTTTAGTAGTAGCAGTAGTTCAGATGCTCATAACCTTTATTTCTGTTGTGTTTATCATGCTGGGGTGAGCCCTGGCCCTCAGAGAGGCCTCGCCAATGCTACCACTGAGCCATACCCCAGTCCTTCCCTGTGCTGAGCTTCCCCTGTCGTGTTTCGCATTCACAACACTGTGGCTTCTCTATGGCTATGTTTTTTCTCTCTCTGGTCTGCCTTTCACTGCCTATAAGCAGCAACATTTAACTGCATTTAAAGTTCTAGGTCATTTACAGAAATCTGAAACAAGGGAACTTCACTTGCTAACAGTGTCTCCAGAAGATGTTCCCAGTGTCTCCTCAGTGTAACAAACCACAACCCTCTGACAACTGTGTAGAAATCTGCCGTGGTGAAGAACGTGACTAAGTCCTGCAAGTCTCAACAGATGCAACTTCGTTCTTTCATAAATGTCTTTTACCCTCGAAACACATAGGGTTTTCTCTCTCCCCGGCCCCTTCTACAAGCATCACCGGCTCACACCGACCATCTATCTCACCATGTAGTTAGTGACTCAGTGATGCTTCTGTTAGGTCAGCACTACTTGGAGCACGGCACAGAACAAAGTTCTGACATCAGAAGGGAAGGGAGCTCTTTCACAGTACCAGGAGGAAACCTAGATAAAGTTGAAATCACATGATTTTAAAAAGCCATAGTAACAGAGGGAGTGAGGCAGCACACTGAGGTGTTTACGACTAAGTTTAGAGCATGTGTTTAGTTCCCAAACTCCCAAGTGCTGAGGTTAGCAAAGGCAGAAAGCTACGGCGCTGTGGAAGCAGGTGACCGGGGACTCCTGTCAGGCACAGCTGTACAGACAGAGCTCTTCGCCTGCCTCACCATGCCCTCAGCTGAGCACTTTTTCTTCATTTAAATGACATCTCAAACCAAATGTTATGCAGGGAAGAACGATCTGGCAGAGTGACAGTCAAAGCATCACAATGAAATTCAACAGAAAAGCAGCTGGACCCATGGCTGTCAGCCAAGATGGTCTGAGCTCAGCTCCTCTTCCTCTGCCCAACCTCTGAGATTGGGCTGTTTCTTCATCTACTGCAAAACTCAGGCCAAGGACTCTTCAGGTATGCCATAGGAAGCGCTGGGATATGGGCTCTTTGGTGGCTGTGCACGTTACTCAGGTGGACACTTGTTCACACAGGTCGTGAGGAAGCAAACCACTGCATGAGACCATAAGGTGCAATGCTCTACAGTGTCGAGAAGACCCCTCTGGTGTGCAGAGGGCTACAAGGCTACATAATGGCAAGACAGGGTGTAGGGCCGGGTGCATAGCTACCCCAGTTCCCGGATGCAGCCATGCTCTCCTGTGTCCTCCACCCAGGCTAACAAGCAGCAGGAAGCACACAGCCCTGCTGGCTCCTCGGCACCTCTGTCCTAGGCGGTGCTTTGCTGGTGACATCCTCTCTCATTGGCACAGATGGCTGAGCTGCTGTCAGAGCTCAAAGAGAGGGTTGTATTTCCTAATCTCCTGGAGAAGTTTTTCTTTGTCCTGGTTGGCAATGGTCAGTGCTTGTTTGGTGTCCATAAGTTCCTGCTGGAGGGTAGGCAATTCTTCCTCCTGAGGGGTAAGTATTTCACCATTAAGGAACCACCAATATGGAGTTGGGGGAGGAGAACTCAACAGAAGCACCAGTGGGGCAATGATTAAGACAACTACAACTCAAATGGTTTCCCAAGGGGCCCATTCCCTCTGTCAAGCTCATCAATTTCAGGGACAGGATCATCAGTGGCCAGCCCCCACCAGCTCCCATCTACAGCTGCTGTTGGTAACAGGAGCCCGCCCCTCCACACACAGGTGATCCTTTAGACCTCTGGGTTTATTGCTTCCACAACTACACGCCCTAGAGGCTATGGGAAGGTTAGGTCAGGTCCTCACCTGCAGTCCCAAGCTCTGTCCTGTGGGCCTCAGGAGCACCTGTTCTTTTGGGAGCTGCTGCTTCTCAGGCACTTGGAACAATGGCCTGTCCTGAGCCGGAGCTGGAGCTGGAGCCGGAGCTAGGGAAATAACCATTTTAAGTGACAAATAGCTACCAACAGCCAAGCAAGTCCTACTTGTCAACTACATTGACCTTTCAGAGAAAGACACAGAACAGAGAAGCCAAGAAGCCTAACTCACCGCCAAGGTGAAACACACCGTCATCATTTCGCTTCAGCACAAGATGCTCCACTGCCACAGTGATGGGGACAGGGCCAGGGGATGTTGGGTAGATGGGAGGGATATCATCCTGAAGGGCAGAGAGGAACCACGTGACTTTCCCACCCAGCTGAGGGCAACAGACCCACCATACTTCTGCCGTTGCTCTCAAGGCAGTCTGACAACACTAATTCTCCAGATATTCCTTTGTTTTTAATTACATTTAGTTATTCTTTGTGTGTCTGTCTGTCTGTCTGTCTGTCTGTCTGTCTGTCTGTGTCTGTGTGTCAGGGCTCTCAGGTGGAGGTCAGAAGACAATTTGTGGGAGCAGTTTCTCACCTTCTACCATGTGAGTCCCAGGGATTGAACTTGGGTCCTCAGGCTTGGCAGCAAGTGCTTTTACCCACTGACCCATCTTGCAAGCTCACCCACACATTCCTGCAAGGTATAAGAGACATAACCAAGCCCTGCCCGTCCTCCAGATGGTGAGACTCAGATTACACAGCTAGGAGCTTGGTATGGTTGGGATACAAGACAAAGACAGGGTTAGGATCACAAATGACCTAGGCTTTGTGAGTGTGTGTGTGAGTGTGTGTCAGTATGTGTGTGAGTATATGTGAGTGAGTGTGCATGTGAGTGTGCATGCGTGTGTGTGTGCATGTGAGTGTGCATGTGTGTGTGTGTGTGTGTGTGTGTGTGTTCACGTTCATGTGTCCATGTGCATATTCACGGGTGTACATGTAGAGGCCAGGGTGTCTTACCTCAATCCTGCTCGTCCCTTTTTTAAGGTTTATTCTATGTATAAAATTTTACATTTCTGTATGTATGTGTATGCATCACAAGCATGCCCAGTGCCTGCAGAGGTCAGAAGTTGGAGTCAGATGCCCTGGAGCTGCAGTAACAGATGCTTGTGTGAACCACCAGGTGGATGCTGGGAAAGAAACTCCGGTCCACGGCATGAGCAGCCAGTGCTCTTACCGCTGAGCTTTGACTCCAGCACTCTTGCAACCCTATTTTGAGATTATTTCTCACTGAACTCGAGGTTCACTGACTAGCAAGTCCCTTGGATGTTCTTGTCCCCACCGCCCCAGAATGGGGAGTACTTGAACAGCAAGTACTTTCCCAGCAGAGCTATCCTACCCCAATTTAGGTCTTTACCCATGCCACCCATTTCTCTGCTTCTGAAATAGGGACAGATAATGCTGAGAGGTGACAGGCAAGAAACCGCCACTACAGAGTCCAGAAAAGACACCAACGTCCCTCTCACCTTGAGGGTGATACTGGAGTCCAGGAGCTCAATCTGCATTGGGACGACCACTGGGGCTTCCTCATCCTCCAAAAATGGCCCCAGACCATTGAGCACTGAGGTGAACAGCTCCAGGTCACAGCCCCGAAGCAAGAATCGCAGGAAGCCATTTTGTGTGGCCAGTGGGGAATGAACAGATGCACCGGGCCCCACCTCAAAGCGCAGACCCACAGCAGGCCTGATGTGACCAGCCTTCGGATTTGAGGATTCCTGGAAGCTTGTGCCTTTGAGAAGAGAGCCAAGGAAAACATATTAAAACATTGTAAAACACTTCCCCTGTGCCCCATACTCAGAACCCTAGGCCAGCATCAGAGGGGTGAACCAAGTCACCGAAAGTAACTCTCCCAAAGGTACACCACTGTATACAGCAGAGCTGAGGTCTGAAGTCAGGCAGTCTGTGCCCAGGAGCTTGGGCTCTTTGTTAGAACGCCTCGAGGTTCAGGAGTGGGGAAAGGCCTTGCACGAATCTGAGGCACTGTACTAACAGTGCAGGGAAAGTGCTTAAAACACAAGACCCCCAACCCCCAACCCAGCATCTTGTCCCTCACATCTGCCACTCATCCACGCTGACCCCTCTCCAGGGCCATGGAGGACCACCTGAGCTCACCTGAGGAGACAACAATCCGCATGGAAAAACTGTGGAGGGCAACAGCCTAGGGCAGCGGAAGCACCCTGTGCTAGTGATCTAGAGTCTGCTCAGGGCAGAGCCTCAGGAACACAAAAGAGAGCAACTCCCGAGCATGTGCACCAGGGAGACACACACACAAGTCCACAGCACCTTTACTTAAACAGTGACAAAGGGTGTTGTGGTGGCACACGCCAGTGAGCAAAGAACTGAGGAGGCACAGGAACAACAGTCAGGGGTTCAAGGCTACCCTGAGACACACAGTTGAGTTATGAGTCAGCATGGACTGCATAAATGAGAACAGGCCCATAAACAAACAAACAAACAAGCAAACAAGCAATACAACTAGAAAGAATCCAGCCGGGCGGTGGTAGCCAGAGTTGTTCTACAGAGAGACCCTGTCTTGAAAAACCAAAAAAAAAAAAAAAAAAAAAAAAAAAGGAAAGGAAACGAAAGAAAAAGAACCTGGGGGGAGGGGGGCACACACACCCAAAAGGTAGAATACTGTAAAAATGAACTGATCTAACTCAAGCGCCAAGCAGACCAGGTTTGGGCCAGGCATGTGGTTGCATGTGACAACAATCCCAGCACTGGGGAAGCTGAAGTGGGTCAGGAGTTCAGGACCATGCTCAAACATGCCACTTTCTAGTGCAGCCTGGGCTACATCAGACCAGACTCAAATACACAGGGGCTGGAGAAGGTCCAGGAGTTACGAGCTCTGCTCTTGCAGGAGACCCAGGTTCAGTTCCCAGCCCCTGGTGGCTCACAACCATGTGTTAGTCCAGTTCCAGGGGATAAAGCACCGTCTCCTGGCCTCTGTAGGCACAAAGCATGAAGCTGGTGTACACACGACTATTCAAGTAAGACAGGAAAATAACATCAACCATTAAAATTTGTTAATAAAGCCTGAAGTGGTGGCACATGACTTTAACCCCAGCACTCAAGAGGCAGAGACAGGTGGATCTCTGCGAGTTTGAGTCCAGCCTGGTCTACAGGGCTAGTTGTAGGACAGCCAAGCTACATAGTGAGACCCTGTCTCAAATAAATAGATAGATAGATAGATAGATAGATAGATAGATAGATAGATAGATAGATGGATGGATGGATGGATGGATAGATAGATAACTAAATAAATAAAACAAAAAAATTGTCGCCGGGCACTGGTGGCGCACACCTTTAGTCCCAGCACTCAGGAGGCAGAGGCAGGCTGATCTCTGTGAGTTCGAGGCCAGCCTGGTCTCCAGAGCGAGTGCCAGGATAGGCTCCAAAGCTGCACAGAGAAACCCTGTCTCAAAAAAACAAAACAAACAAACAAAAAAAACCGATTTGTCAATGAAAACAATGTTTTGTGAAAAAAAATCAAATCACAAAATAATAAATACTAGGAGTCTATTTAGGAAACTATCCAAAATTAAGTAACCTGTTGACAGAACAGGTGGAAAAGTTACAACATCATGCAAGAGGACGGTTGCTCAGCACAGCTGAGGGCAGGCCAGAGGCCTGTCAGGGGTGAGTGCCCAACAGTGTTTCAGTGGTTATAGGCCAGGTGTAAAGCGTAAGGTATAGAAGGAAGGCAGAAGAATCCACTGCTATTATGTGTATTTTATAAATGTTCTTTGGTTCTACTTATGATTTTTAAAAATATTAAATGAAGCCTATATAACATAAGCCAGATTCTTCCTGGACACTACCCACTGAGTGCCACAGCTGCTGGAGGAAAGAGCCAACTGTCTGGGTGCCAGCTAACCTCGCCTGCCTCGGGAAATCCCACCACGCTACTGGAATGGCCATCATCTGTACCTGGGCACTGTCCATGCAGAAACTGCCAGAGGCTGACAGTGCCCAACTGTTGTAGGGCCAGCTCTTCTGCTTGCAAGGCTACCGTCAGGTCCTCACCACGGACCTCAATCCCCAGTGACACTTCATTCACTTTCAGGACCAAAACTGACACCTGTCAAAAGAGATTCTTAGTTTAGATTCCCAACAGTGTGCTTGGCCCAGAGCCTCCCTCCCGCACAGAAGAAAGCATGGCAGCTGACCGAGTGAAGGATGAGGTCACCACTGGCTGACACTGAGCTGTTGGTCTCTGGCAACCCCTGGCCACAATTATCCAGAACAGGGCTCCCCTGAATACCACTGTCATCTAAGACACTTGTCACAGATGCTGATGGGACAGATTCTGGACCAGACTCTGCATGAAGAAAGCAATAAAGGAGGTCAAAGGTCAGAAAGGCCTGTTCCCTTCCAACTTCTAAAAACAGCAACAACTAAAAAACCAAAATAACTGAACATTTGAAAACTAATCAGAGAGCTGATGAATTTAAGAACTGTTGTTTTTTAAAATACAATAAATACTGCATTTGGTTAAATTTAATGCAACCTGTCAACAGAAGCAACCACTAGTAGTCAACAAGCAATCAGCATAAACATATGTACACACACACACACACACACACACACACACACACACACACACACAAAAGATGACACACTATATGGACTTAAAATGAAAGGAAATTCTACACTACACACATGAAAACTTAGAGTCTTACGTACACTGTATTGAATAGAATAAACAAATCATAAAAAGCCGAGCACGCAGAGAGCATGGTAGCACATGCCTAGAACCCAAGCACACAGGAGACCTAGGGAGGGCCATAGGTTGGAGGAACTGCTTCTGTCCCCAGTGGCTCACAACTGTCTGTAACTTCAGCTACAGGGGACCAAACGCTCTCTTCTGGCCTCTGAGGGCACCTACACTCACATGCACACACCCATACAGACACAAAATTACAAACAAACAAACATGCTTTTAAAAGGCCAAAACCACCCCACACCAAAAAAACAAAAAACAAAAAACAAAAAAGAGACCAAGTCTTAGCAAGAATGTGGAGAAGAGCCAGGCGGTGGTGTGAATGCTTTTAATCCCAGCAGGGGCAGGTGGATCTCTGTGAGTTAAAGGCCAGCCAGGTCTACAGAGTGAATTCCAGAACAACCAGGGCTATACAGAGAAACCCTGTCTCGAAAAAGCAAAAAGAAAAGAAAAAGACTGTGGAGAAAAGCAAACCCACCCTAGCAGTGTTGGGAGTGATGTAAACCTGCCCAGGCTTAAGGACAAGAGCAGTCCTCAAGAGCAAGAGTTCCTTCTCACATGGCCTCCCAAAGAAAATACAGTAGTGTATTCAAGGAATGTGTGCACTGCCTTGTACACTTGCCAAGCCACACAAACGGCATGTGTCCATTATCCAGTGACTCAGACAAGTGTGTGTGAGTGTGTAGGAAAACCTGGCACGAGGCAATATGGACAGAAGTGCACAAATCACGTACTATCACGTATATAGGTATAGGAAACAATCAGGCACACTGCAAAGAAAAGAATGAGGTTACTATGGAGACAGTGTAAAGATGTTGGCCGGGGGCATCCTTCAGCCAGACAGGAAGAGTAGATGGTATATGTGTGCAATAACATTACCATATAAACACACGCATTACAATTTGGAAAATAGGAAGTTCAAGGCTCTAGCCTGGGTTACATGAGACTCCCCCCCACCCAAAATAAAAAACAAAGAATTAAACATAAAAATAACCTAGGAGATGTGTAAATGAAATCACAGAAACCTATGCACTGAATTTCCTCTCTTCCGTTTTCGTTAGGAAAGTATCTCTGGCACCTTATCTCAGCCCTACTTGAACCCTGAGGTGTGACATCAGCTAGAGTGCATGCACTCCCTGGACTAACACACCTTTCCGCATACACACCTGACTCCAAGAGCATTACAAAGCCATCACTGCCATCGCTGTCTACGGAAATCCGATCTTCAGGGCCACCACTGTCCACTGAGACGCCATCAAATGACTGCTGAGAGACTGTCCTCTTCATGGAGAAAAACCGGAGCCGGGCAGTGCCCCCGCTCACTGGGGCTGACACCCCTTCATCTGTCTTTGCCACGGCTTCCCTAAGTTTAAAAAAAAGTAAAAACCACCAATTCAGCTTTGAGGACCTGTTCATTCCCTTTCAACTCACCCAGCCTCAGCCTGACACATTTCCCTAGCTCAGACAGTTAGTGCGAACACACTTGCTGTTTGAACATTCTAACTACCTAACCAGCCCCTAACAGTAAATCTCAGGGCTCTTCAGGGTCATGCCACTCACAGACCCTGGAGATAATAAGTGGTGCTGAAGCACCTGCATGTGTGTATGTGGGTGCACACACATGCACATGCATGCACACATGTGTGGTTTCTGAGGTGGCCAGGCTCCCTGGAGCGGAGTTACACAAAGAAGGTTATGAGCCTTCTGACTGGAGTCCTGCAAGAGCAGCAATAGCTCTCAAAGGCTGAGCCATCCGTGCAGCCCCACTTCGCAGGTCTTGACTCAATTGCTATGGAGAGACAGAGCACAGGGTGGCTAAGGTAATGAAAAACATCCCTACCCTCAGAGGGAAGGCTGGAAAATAGGTTTGTTCTACAGCACTGAGTCACGCATGCCCGAAGAGAAATGATCAAGAATGGCCTTTTAGGAAATAACATTTTTTTTTGTTTTTTGTTTTTTTTGTTTGTTTGTTTTTTGTTTTTTGAAACAGGGTTTCTCTGTGGCTTTGGAGGCTGTCCTGGAACTCGCTCTTGTAGACCAAGCTGGTCTCAAACTCACAGAGATCCACCTGCCTCTGCCTCTGCCTCCCTAGTGCTGGGATTAAAAGCATCTGCCATACAAGGTGAGGACCAGAGTTCAGATCCCTAGAACCACAAAATGCTGGTGGACATGGCATCCCACCTGTAATTCAGGCAAGCTAGCTAGCTAGACTAGATGTCTAGGTGAGTTGTGGGTTTGACTAAGAGATCTTGCCTCAATGAGTAAGGTAGAAGAGGAATCCAGAATGATTAAAAGTGTCAACCTTGAACCTCCACACATGCCCACTCACAGAAAAAAATGGGAAAGAGGACCCGGAGAGTTGGCTCAGCGGTTAAGAGTACCAGCTACTCTTCCAGAAGACCTGAGTTCAATTTCCAGACTCTCCATGGTGGTTCACAACCCCAGAGGATTTGATGCCTGCTGGCCTCCTTGAGTACTGCACTTTTATGCAGACAAAACATCCATACACAAAACAAATACATTCATTTAATGGAAAAGGAAAGAAAAAAGCTCTAATTCCTTGACTGTAATGGCATGGTCTGTGAGCCACCAAATGTATCAGAAGAGACCTCATCGTGCCACCTTAACTCTCTCCCCCTCCCCTTTGGTTTGTTGTGACAGGGTTTCTCTGTGCTGCCCTGGCTATTCTGGCACTCGCTCTGTAGACCAGGCTGTCCTCGAACTCACAAAGATCCACCTGCCTCTGCCTCCCGAGTGCTGGCCCATTATCTTTCTAAAACCACAAGAAACTCGCAGGAAAATCCAACCTCCTGACTATGTTTTCCTTTCACCCTAACATATCCCCAATGTTTAGCACAGCAAGCTCAACGCTGTCACCCTTCTCCATTGCTCTAGCGGACGCTAGTGCGGTTCTGCCACAAAAAGCAAGTGCCAAGACCCAGCTCTTGAGTGAGAGAGCATGACCTCTCTCAAGTATCATTCTCCTCAGCTATAAATGAGAAATGAAAAGTTCTGCAGTTACTAGGCTATTATGGATGTCCAATTAAACAAAGAGATTACGAGATAACCCACGGCAATGACTATTATAGCAGAGTCAGGCACAGGGGCACACACCTGTAATGCTGAGACTCAAGATGAGGCCAGAAGACTCAAACTTATATTAAAAAAAAAAAAAAATCTGTGTGAAAAAATAAAGTCCATTTCCAGACCAGCCTGGGATATATAGTAAGACTCTGTTGTTGGGGAATATTATTTTCAGGTGGGTGGCTTTTGTTTATGCTGCATTTGTTTAACTCTGTAAAGCTGTGATTCTTTGCTTGTCTAAAACACCTGATGGCCGAATAAAGAGCTGAACAGCCAATAGTAAAGCAGGAGCAAGGACAGGCAGGGCTGGCAGGCAGAGTGTAAACAGGAGGAGAACCAGGGAGGAACAAGAGAATGAGGAAAGGGGAATGTCAGGGATCAGCCACCCAGCCACCCATAGAACAGGAAAAGCCCAGAGGGAAAAGGTAGACGAGATGATTTACATTTAAGAAAATCTGACTAGAAACAAGTCAAGCTAAGGACGGACCTTCATAACTAAGACTAAGCTTCCATGTGCGGTTATTTGGGAGCTGGGTGGTGGGCCCTCCAAGAGCAAAAACAACAAACATTATACTGTCTTGTCTCAAAACATAAGATTTGGGCCAGAAGTATGGTTCAGTGCTGAAAGTACTTGCCTAGTATTTGTAAGGTCTTGGTTTCCTTAGCAACAAGAATAGAATATAGATGCCAGGTACTATTATTTTGATATAGCCTAATCTGTGTCGATAATTGTGAGCTACACATCCTAAAAAACTACAAATGTTGACTTGAAGCCTTCTCATTCAACCAGCCATCCCCCTACCATTTTATTTTATTTTATTTTTGTTCTTTTCAAGACAGGGTTTCTCTGTGTAACATCTCTGGCTGTCCTAGAACTGGCTTTTTTAGACCAGGCTGGCCTCAAACTCACAGAGACCTGCCTTAAAGATATGTGCCACCACCACCCTGCCTATAGTTTATTTTTATTTTATGTGCATTGGTGTTTTGCCTGCATTTATGTCTGTGTGAAAGCATCAGATATGACTCCAGTTACAACTGTGAGCTGCCATGTGGTGCTGGGAACTGAACCTGGGTCCTCTGGAAGAGTAGCCAGTGCTCTGAACCACTGAGCCGTCTCTCCAGCCCCCGCCCAGGCCTTCTCTAAGAGTACACACAGCAAGTGGCCTAGAGCCCAGAACTATTTACACGGTCAGAACTAGAGGACAAGTGGAGAAATTACAGCAGGCTGAGGACCACTCACTTGGTGGGAGGCAGGGACAACATTTTGTGCATGGTGGAGGTCACTCGATCTCTGCCTAAACTGAAGGCATCTCTAGTCAGGGACACAGCTTCCTTGGTGAGGTCCACTGTAGCATGGAGAGCCTCTTTGGTGGCATCCTTGGTCATGTGAATAGCACTGGACAACTCCCCCTCGATGTTCCTCAAGGGTATGGGCTCCCCTTGTCCATTCATAGCAGCCTCCTTGTCAGCTGGGGACTTCAAGGCAGCTGGTAGGCCAGCAGTTTGAGTTCTGCTCAACTTCTTGGCCTGCAGAGACTCAACTGCCTCATGGCTCTTCCCTGCTGGCTGCCGTGCAAGTGGACCCAAGTCCTGCAGCGTTCCATCACTAGGCCGAATTTCCTGAGACGCATCCAGATTTTCAACGCTGCCGTCCTTCAGGACTTTCTCAGGGCTGACTGGGCCCTGGTCTGAGGAGGCATCAGACTTCAGCTCCCGATCTTCTGATGGAGACAGCTCTGAGTCTATGAGGCTGGTGGTGTCTGAGCCCGCAGAGTCAGCATCAGCAGTGCCAGGGGCAGGAGGCATGAGCAGAGCCACCTCAGCACTGGGGAAGAAGACGCCAATGCAAGCTGTGTGGTCCTGCAGGGGAGACCCCATCATGGCCTCTGTGTCATTGCTCAGCTGCTCCTGAAGCCCCTGGAGCACGTCCTTCAGACGAAGCAGAGCCAAGTACTGGTAGTGGTCGAGCCTCACTTGGAGGGGGGCGGGGGAGTGTACGAGCATGTGAACATCCGCCACGCCCTCCAGCTCTGCCACATGTCCTCTATGGTCCACTCCAGCGTCACCTTCTCTCAGAACCTTTGAGGCGTCGGTAAAGCCCAACAGGCTTTTCAAGTCCCGTTCAGTCTTCGACCTCTGATGGGACACAGTCTCAGGGGCAAGAGCTTCAGAACGCACAGGGCTGCCAAAGCTGGCTGACGGTTTTAGTCTCCCCTCTGAGGCCAAGAGGAGCCGCCGTGCCTGGGCTTGCTGCCAGCGGAGAGGAAGGCAGGCCCAAATGGACAAGGGGAAGGGGGCCACAAAATTCAAGGTATGGCCTTTGAAGTTCTCTGTGCCCTCAAAGTCCAAGGAGATCTGGGTGAAGTGCAGAGACCAAAGATCCTGGGAGGCAGCAGGCCTCTGAGGAGGGAGGGAGCTAGGCTGGGCCGGGAGGGAATCCATCTGGAGAGCGTGATGCACAAAGAGCGTGTGCAGGAGGCTGAAGCCCCCTGGAGCCTTGGGAAAGTGACCGTAACTGGAACGAAAGAACTCAGCAGCAGCAAAGCCCCGGAAGAGACTCTGGAGGTCTGGACAACTACAGTGTGGGGCATGCCGAGTGTTGGTGGCAATCAGTCCTGAGGTGGATAAGACAAGCGCCTGGGGACGATGCAGCTTTGCCTGCTCTCTCTTCTCCAGTGGGAAGCTCACCTTCAGAGAGAAAAATGAGACACAACTAAGGTTATCCGAACAGACATGTGGGTATCTGAAGCTGACTTTCTTACTTCTACCAAGCACACACAACAGTACTGTAGGTCACAACCTTTTAGAGCCGTAGCTGTGTCTACCAGCAAGTGCCAAATGTCTAGTTGTTGTCCCTACCTTCAACAAGAATGCATCCAGCCGAATGTCCAAGTGCTCATCTTTTTGCCTTGAATCTTCCAGCTTATAGATAGCTTTGAACTGCTCCAAGCTGCGGTATAAATCTAGGCAAAAGAGGTTTCCCCAAAGCAAGCTGACGGGATCCACAGTAAACGTCAGACCATTTAACTGGATGTAGAGATTGGGACAGGGCACTGGAAGCAGAGGAAACAAGGACGGTCATTTACAATGCAGCAGCTACGACTCTCACCAAGCAGCTACGGTTTCACTGTCACAACGGCAAAGACACACCCTTGCACACCGCAGAGTTGTTTTTCAGACAGGATCTCACATATCCCAGGCCCACCTCAAGCTACTATGACACTCTGCTTTACCTTGCAGAGTCCTGAGATTATAGCTGTGCATCTCCACAATCAAGCTATGTGGCGCTGGTGATGAAGCATGCTAGGCCAGAGCACAAGAGAAGTTTTTAACTTAGACACAGGGGCTCCTAACCCAAGTGAGATGGATACAGTGGTCTCAGGGCTGACCAAGGTGAAGGGCACCAACAGAAGAAATGGCAGAGCCCAGGGGCTTACCTGGAAGCTCCTGATTATCAGGAAAGTAATACTCTGTGAACTGTACATGGATGGCAGCCACCTGAGTCGGAAGGTGATGGCGTTTGCGGTTGCAAGAGAGCAGAGTGGATGGCTTCTTACTTGGCTGTCCAGCTGTGGAAACCTAAGTAACCACAAGTCACCGTTAGCCTGCATGACTGTTTCCTAAGGAACGCATGCCTCTGCCACCCCACATCCTTCCCTCAGAGGAGCACAGAGCTTTCCACACATGTTCCAGACACGGTCACACTGCTGCACTATCCCCAAATTGCTATTCTGTTTGGTTTATGGGATGGGTCTCACATAGTGTAGGCTGATCTCAAACTGGCAATGTAGCTAAGAATGGCCTTAAACTCCTACCACCACTTCCAAAGTGCTAGGATTACAGCACCTCAATCAGTCCAAGTTCATTTTCAGCAGGAGGCTGTAATTCAGCATTCTGAGAACATCCCAAGGCCCTTTCTAAGAGGCCATGGTCAACAGAAACAAACTATCCATCTACTCAGGAGTGAGGCCAACAGGCCCTGGCTTCCATATCTGGGTTCACACTGTTCTAAACTATCCCACACCCTCCAATGTCTCCCTGTGTCTTCACCTGGTGGATGTCCAGGTCATCCACTCGTACAACCAGGCAACTAGAACGTAAGCGATTCCATGCTGGAGACCCAAAGGCAGCCTGCCAGCCCTGAGCAGGGCTTTTGTCAAGAGGGCTCTTTCCAGGGCTAGAAAAAGAATCTAAGAAAAAAGGAAAAGTAGATACATTCATTATTCATTATTAATAAAATTTAGAAATTAAAAATCCAAGATCATTTAAATAGTATGAAGTAGAGAGCTCAACACTGGTGGCAACTTGCTAACAGTCTTCGTGAGTTCAAGACAACAGCCTGCTGATAGACAAATGCCTGTAAAGCAGCTACCACTGCTTACATTGGCATCAGACTGTGAGATGCAGCCGGGTGAATAGATTCTCCACCAGCTATCCAGAGCCAAAAAGCAAAAGGCTAGAGCCTTCCAAGTCCTCAAATCCCACCTGCTTTCTTTCGGAACACAGAGTCTCCACCCAGACACCATAACGGTTTCAGACTGGTTTCCTCAAGCCACTTCTCCATCTTACTCTGAAACTCCATCACCAGTTGCTGGGCCCAGTGGCCTCGGGTTTCCATGGCCTCACAGTGCCGCACCCAGTGTTTACAGCTGTCACCTGTGGGTAAAAAAAGAAAAGGAGCGGGCTGGAGATATGGCTCGGAGGTTAAGAGCACTGGCTGCTCTTCCAGAGGTCCTGAGTTCAATTCCCAGCAACCACATGGTGGCTCACAACCATCCGTTATGAGATCTGGTGCCCTCTTCTGGTGTGCAGATATACATGGAAGCAGAATGCTATATACATAATAAATACATAAAATCTTTAAAAAAAAAAAAGAAAGAAAAGAAAAGGAGCTGAGCCCAATGTCACAGATCAGCGTTCCAGTGTGCTCCTATCGGGATTAGATCTCAGCCCCAACCCAGAATTTCCTGGAATAAGAGAAAAATGCCGACTGAGAGCACCCATCTTCTTCTCAGACGGGTTTAAACCTAAGGATCATGAGAGGGTGAGAGGAGAATCCAAAGCAACTCCACTTCCTCTAGTCATCACCAACAGTCTGCAGATATCCTCACAGGAAGAGGCTCCCAGCACTCCCTGAGCATTTGCAGCAATATCCAACTCTCTTTTGCTGGCTGATCAGCTATGAACCCTGAAATCCCTGAAATCCACCTTCAATTATCTGGGACCATGCTACAACACATTACATTTCTCTAACCTGCCCAGTGGAAGGGGTAGTAGTCAAACGCCATCTTGCGGAAGGTAAGCTGCATGGCACCACCTGTGAGTCTGTTTGCAGAGACACCTGTGAAACAAAGACAGGTAAACAGCACTGGGGGGGCCACTAGGAGTCCTCTGAAGGGCTGGACCCCAACCCTGAACCACTAGGAGTCCTCTGAAGGGCTGGACCCCAACCCTGAACCACTAGGAGTCCTCTGAAGGGCTGGACCCCAACCCTGAACCACTAGGAAGTCGTCTGCAGGGCTGGACCCCAATCCTCTTGTCAAGAGCAACCTAATGAGCCCATATCTGTGCTTTATATACTAAAATGAATGTACAAAGATTCCTTTGTTCAATTAATGGATAAGAAACAATAATTGTTTTAAATTAGCTATTTTAAAGCTACTAGTATTTAAAATGTAAAACTATAATTATTGATAATGTTTTGAGGATTTTTGTTGTTTTTTAGCCAAGGTCTCATCAAACTCAGGCCAGTGTCAAACTTATTAATCATAGCTAAGTTGAGTTCCTGATCCTCCTGCCTCCGTCTCCCAACTGCTAGAATTACACTATGTACTACTACAATAATGCATTCTTTTCATTTGGGGAAAGGATATTCTTTGTTGGTTTGTTTGTTCTGTTTTTTTCAAGACAAGGTTTCTCTGTGTAACAGGTCTGTCTGTCCTGCAAATTGCTATATAGATCAGGCTGGCCTCAAACTCACAGAGATCCACCCACCTGTGTCTGCATCCTGAGTACTGGGATTAAAGGTGTGCTCCACTACAGGCCGGCTTGCTTTTCCCCAGGGGGTGGGGATATTCTTGAGACAGAGTCTTGCTATGTGGCACAAGCTGCCTCAACCTCATGACAATACTTCTGCCATAGTCTCCAGAGCACTAGGATCACATGTACGCATCACTATAACCACCAAGTACACTATGTGGCCCTGGCTGGCCTCAAACTCAAGAGACCCATCCAGCACTAAAGGCATTCACCACCACTCCAAGTCCCCAGGGTGGTAATAATAATAATAATAATAATAATAATAATAATAATAATAATATAGCTTTAATAATCATATCCTCTGGTGGAAAAATCCATGCCATTCCTCACATCTCCTCTCAAAATGGAAATGGAGTCACTGCAAGATCAAGGAATAACAAACTAGAGAGAAGTGTGGCTTGCAGACCAGGAAGAGAAGAAAAAACAAGTATGTGCCCCTGAAACATTAAAAGAGGCAAGTATACAGCAGGAGTTGTAGCTAACTTGCCCAGAACTCACAAGGCCCTGGGTTCAACCCCCAACACTACCAGAATAAACAAGTAAATAAGGGGCAAACAGCAAAGGCAGCCTACAGAGAAGTTCAAGTACAAGAAAATGCTGTCACCTGAGAGCATCAGAAATCATGAGAGAGCAAAAGGAACAAAGACGGCACAGTGAGTCAAAATGAAGTGTAATGACTCCTGGGCCCCCCAAAGCCAGCAGACTATCTCACTTGGGCCTGACAATGGCTTTGAGGTAAATGAGCAAAGAGTGACTTCAGTTTCATAAATGAGGCTATTCAAAGAAATTAAGCAAAAGGTTATTGGCTTCTGCAGGGCTCATAAAGAAATGTCAATCATTCTGAATAAATATAAATACACATATACAATACTATTTTAAACACGACATAACTTCCCTACACATATAAATACAATATATATAATTGGGGGAGGGATTGAGACAGGGTCTCACTATGTAGTCCTGGCTGTCTAGAACTTGCTATGCTGACCAGAATGGCCTTTAACTCACAGAGATCCTCCTGCCTCTGCCTCCAGAGTGCTGGGATTAAACCTGTGCACTACCACATCTGACGATCACAACATAATAGTAAAATGACTCAGAACTGAACATTCCATTCCAGATAGAACTGTGGTGGAGCAACTGTTTGCTTAGTGCACACAAGGTCTCCAAAAAGGGAGACAGAACTCTTGAGTTTTCTGTAACTGAATTAATTTACTGTTCCCATAATCCCCCAGAATGGTTCTCCGCCTCTGGCAAACACCAGCCTATCTCCGGAAGGGGAGGAAAACAGTTTCCTGCACAGCATGGTGGGAAAAGGGCCTGTGGTGTGTGCTGTGTGCCGGGTGCTCCAGCACACCACAACCCTGGAGAGCACTGCCTCAAGCCAACACACAGCAACCTCAAGAGGGTTGGGGCCCAAACACTGCCTGTGATTAAGGGGTTAACTCAAGTGTGGGTGCCAGCCACAAGTATCTGTGGGAAACCTTCACCCTAGGCTCTGCCCGAGACAGACAACGATGTGCAACCAGCCAGGAGCAGGTGGCGTGGGTACCTGGTTCCCGGGCCTGGCTGTCATCACAGATGTGCAGGTCCAGGCGGGAGATGAGCAGGTGGTAAGAGGGCTCCTTCACATCAAACTTCTCAAAGTACTGGCTGAGGCGGCTACTGCTGCTGCTGCTGTTGCCCTGGCCGCCACCGAATGCCTGGGCCCAGGTCTGCTGGGCACTGGGAGCAGGTGGAGTGATCTACATGTGACAGAGACAAGCATCAGGTGCTCGGTGGTTGAGAGCATTGGCTCTTCCAGAGGACCCAGGTTTAATTCCAGCACCACATGGCAGCCCATGCCTGTCTGTAACTCCAGTTCCAGGGCTTCAAATACCCTCACACAGACATACATGCAGACAAAACAGCAAGGCACATAGCATAAATTATATATTTAGACAAACTGACAGACAGACATCAAGTCCAGGTTCTGAGAGGCTTCTTCTGATGCTTCCTGAAGCTTCAGTCCACATAAATAGAAGCACAATTTAACAGCATCCCTTCCATCTCATAACTGCTGTCTAATCTCCCACTCAGCCCTACTGGAGGAAGCAACCTAAACTCCAAGAAGCCCACTCATGACAATTTAGCAACTGTCCCGGTGTATCCGTAGGTTTGTGTTGCCCAGCAAGCTCTCACCTACCAGGCCTGGGCTGACCCAGTCATGCCCTCTAGAATGTCCTCCCTAAGGGAGCTGTCATGCTGGGTGGGCAGTGCCCCTTCTCCATGCTTGGGCAGCACCAGGTCTACCTGTTACAACACTGGCATGCCATGTATCAGCAACTTGTCAACTGTCATCTTCTAAGACAGTACAAGTTCCATGGGCAGGAACAAAAGCCTCATGCCACCTCCTTTCTCCAGAAGCTAGCTCCACCTGCTCTACAGGAGGGATCCAGCAAACACAGCAAATGAAAGATGACAGGTGTGAGCAACACCACAACTGACGAACCCCATAAGCAAGCCATTAAAGTCGTCACTCCCTCAACACTGGCACAAATCAGGGCTGACCAACTGCCTCCCCAGCCCCAGAAGATGTCCAATGGTCTCTAACCTGCACGGGCTCAGGAGCCAGGCTCTTTCTCTGCTGGGCTGACTTCTCCATGGCCTCACTCAGCGACTCAGCATACTTCATCATTGCCTTGAGCTGCGAGTCGGTCAGCACCCAGAGCAAGTCATCCAGCAGGAAAGTCAACTTGGAGGCAACCACATTGCAATCCTTGGTCTAAGGGGCCAAAGAGAACACAGTTTAGCACCTTGTAACTTCCAAGGCCTTAGAGTGACTGTGGTCTGGTTTTCCCAGGTAGCTTTTTACCTTCCAGGAGGAGAAAAAGAACCACCAAACACTCTGGAAAGTCTATTTCTTAAAAAATAACTCAGGTTTGCTTGATTAAGAAAAAGCACCAGTCAGCCAGGGATTGGTGGTGAGCGCCTTTAATCCCAGCACTCAGAAGGCAGAGATAGGAGGATCTCTGTGAGTTCAAGGCCAGCCTGGTCTACAGAGTGAGTTCCAGGGAAACCTCCAAAGCTACAGAGAAACCCTGCCTCGAAAAACAAAACAAGACAAAATGAATCTATGGCATTTCTATCCTGTTGGGGTAGCAGTAAATCCTACACCATGTGATTCCATTTGAGGTTGCCTACTAGCAAGGAATATGGAATGGCCAGGTAATCGGTAGGGCCATGTTGCTGTTATTTTCAAAGCAGGGTTTCTCTGCAAAACAGCTCTGGCCTGGCTGTCCTGGGACTCGCTCTGTAGACCAGGCTGGCCTCAGAGATCCACCTGCTTCTGCCTCCCAAGTTCTGGGATTAGAGGCGAGCAGCATCACTGCCTGGCTAGAATCTGTGATTTCTAAAATGGTGAAAAGCTTCTCTTACACTGGTGGGACCGACAACCATGTGGACAGTGGCAGAATACCAACTTCCAGAAGTTTTCCCGGCATGGGCAGCACACACTCACTCGTCTCTTGAGGGCTATCTGGATCCGGCCTTGATTGGTAATGAGCCTCAGTGGAGTGGTGACTGGGTCCTGATCACCATTATCTGTGGCATCTGCCTCAATTCGAAGTGTCTGCCAAGTTATTTCCTTAAATGTTAAAACCTGGAAGGAGAGAAAGTAAAATCCGTGATTCTGTGGAGCAGATGAAGCAAGCACTGTTGGAGCTGAGGGAAAGACAGAGACGGCAGGCGGCATGGTAATGAAGGCAGTGGGTCCCGATCTGTAACTGAGCTGTAACACCGGATACAAAGGACCCCAGCTTTCCCAAGAGTGGGGACAGCGCCGACCAGAACAGGGGCCCCTCCTACTCCGAAGCCCTCCACTCACTCCCCTGAGAATGCTAAGGCTGTCACCTCTCCTCGACGGGGATCAGTGATTCGGGTCAGACGAAGGTCACTCTGCTGCCAGTTGGGGTTGACACTGTAGCCCTGGAGCTGCCACAGCTCAAAGGACGCATGGAAGGCCTTGGCGTGGATCTTGACGGCGATGGAGTTGACAGTGATGAACATACCCTCCACCACCTTCTCGGCAAAGCCATACTCACTGCGACCAAGGAGGGACAGCCGTCAGAGCCCAGCAGGCTGCAGAGGGGTGGGACCGCTCGGAAGACAGCAGGTCCAGCTACAAATGTGACTACTTAGGTTTCTCTCTTCGCTCCTTGTTTGTTTCCCTCTAAATTTTTTGGTTGGGGTTTTTCTTAATGTTATTTTTGTTTTTATGTATGTTGCTGCAGAGGGAGCTGGATCCCTGAAACTGGAGTTACCGAGGGTAACAGTTGCTGTGTGGGTGTTCAGCAGGAAAACCATATCCACTAAAGATCAGCCAGTGCTCTTAAGCTGGTGGTGGTGCACACCTTTAATCCACCAATAGGGAGGTGGAGGCAGGTGGATCTCTGAGTTTGAGACCAGATTGGTCTAATGAAGCCAGGGCTACACAGAGAAATGAGAGAGGGGCAGAGGGGGACAGGGAGGGAAATTTAGAAATTAAATCTGAAAGCACACATGTATGTGCAATTTAGTCATAGAATAATAAAACGTCCAAGAGCCCAATAAAAATAGAACAAAGCATACACGGTTCACAAAAAAAAAAAAAAAAAAAAAAAAAAAAAAAAAAACAAAACAAAAAAAAAAAAAAAAAAAAAAAAAAAAAAAAAAAAACCTAAACCTTACACACAAATCAAAACTATAGTGACACCTTGAGTACAGCTAAGTGACTAATCACTTGCATGCCATGGTACAAGCCCTGGATTCATCCATAATATAAAAACAATGGAAAAAAAATCTGTGGCTCCCTCCTGTAATCCCAGCACTCAAGAAGTAGAGGCTGTGAATTTCAGGGCAGCTGGCTCTGGGGATCCTCTGTCCCCATCTCCAGAGCTGAGATCACAAGTGGAGCCCCACACCCCTCTGGCATCACTTGGGTGCTAGTGATCCAAATTCCAGGCCTCACGCTTACAAAGCAAGTGGGTTACCCGCTAGCCCGTTGCCCCAGCACCTACAAACACTTCTTCAAGAAAAATAAGAAAATAAGAAATGCTGTGCCTGGTATTCTACACCTTTAATTCCAGCATTAAAGAGACAGAGGCAGGCAGTGAGTTTGAGGCCAATTACACAGTGAGAACCTGTCTCCAAAACAGAAAGATAGAAAAGGGAAAAAAAACATTGAGAAGTTATATTCCTTTAGAAAAGAAAAGAGAACCCCGACCATCCCAAAAGAGCAATGTGAATACAGGACAGGAAACAAGTAAACAAAATGTTAAAAGCAGATACAATTTGGTAAACTGTTGGGAAGGATTGGACAGTTTCTTCCAAAATTAAAACTCCCCATACCGGGGCTGGAGAGATGGCTCAGAGGTTAAGAGCACTGACTGCTCTTCCAGAGATCCTGAGTTCAATTCCCAGCAACCACATGGTGGCTCACAACAATCCGTTATGAGATCTGGTGCCCTCTTCTGGTGTGCAAGCATGCATGCAGACGACTGTATACATAATAAATAATAAAAAGATTTTATTAAAAAAAAAAAAAAAACAACCTCCCCATACCATTACTACCCAAACATTCCCATCCCTAGGTGTTTATCCGAGAGAAACGATAGCACACAACACACAAATACATCTGAACGGATATTCACAAAAGCCAAAAGTACAAATGAAAAAACAATCAAGTGAGCAGAAAGCAGGGTGTGGTGGCACAACCTGTAGTCCCAGCTCTTGGCAGGTGGAGGCAGAAGGATCAGGAGTTCAAGGCCAGCCTGAGCTACCCACAGTGAGTTCAAAGGAAGCCTGGGCTACGTAAGATCTTTCGGGGGTTTGGAGAGGGTTGTCTTACACCACATAATGGACTGAAACCAGTCTGGGCTATAGCAAAGGACAACCAACCAACCCTTTAACTGGACTCATGGTAACTGACCTCTGTCCTGAAGCAAGGGCAATGGGAGACTGTCCATTGGGGGGGCGAGGGTCCTCACAGGTTTTCATCTCCACCTCCACCTTGTCTAGACACTGGAATGAAAGTTATACAGAACTAAGCATCCACACAAACCTCAGGCAGCACCAGCAAGACAGCACACACTGGGCTACAAGCCAACCACAGCCAACACAAACAAACCACACTACTAACTTTCTGTCTGGGTCCCAAAGGAAATAAATGTAAGGATACAGCTTGAGAGGTAAAAATCATTATTTAAAACGACAAACAAAGCTGGGCATCATGGCTCATGCCTTAACTCCCAGCCCTTGGGAGGCAGAAGAAGGCAGATCACTGAGTTTGAAGCCAGCCTAACTACAGAGTAAGATCTAGGACGGCCACGGCTATTTAGAGGCCTCGTGTTTCAATAAAACGAAAACACAAAACATAACTTTCAAGTATGAAAGGCCATTACCAAGCAAATCGGATGTGTCTTCAACTTCGTCCACTGGATCTGAAAGAAGAAAGCCAAGACACAGGCCTGTGACAGCTGCTCCTCAACGAAACACGGCTCCTGGCCTAAGACAGCAATGGCACTTAGGTCCCATTCTCACCCGGATGGAGGCCCTGTTGCAGTAGACCCTGGTGATGGCTAGCCAGGTGGGCAGTTCCAGCACGTTCTGCAGAACCTCCTCATCCAGCTCCAGGTTGGTCAGCTGGCCCTCCCCTTTCAGGGTGCTCAAGTTGATCTTGTCCGGGGAAAGATTCTTAGTGAACCTGCAAAGACGATAGAAAGACACCACTGTTTCTAGGGCAACATGACAAAATGGCACTGCTGTAATCAGTCGCCCATGGTCTGCACATCACAAAAGGTATGAGGTGAGACCTGTCATTCTGCTATGACAGTCACCATCCTCCTGGCAATGTGTGGTGGGGAGTCTGGGGAAATGGGTGGAGGAGTAGCAACACAGCCTTCCATTTCTGAATCCCACATGAGAGTCCCCTAAAAGCAGAGCAATTAGGCCAGATATATGTATACGCCTGTGATACAGCACGTGAGAAGTGTTGATGAAGATCAAGGCCACAATGAGTCTGAAGCCAGCCTGGGATGCATGTCACCCTGCCCCACCCACAGGAAACAAAACAACAAAAGACAGCAACTAAACAGAAACAGAAAATGCCCATGGATAATAGTTTATGTTTTGCTTTTTTTTTTTTTTTTTTGGTTTTTCGAGACAGGGTTTCTCTGTGGCTTTGGAGGCTGTCCTGGAACTAGCTCTTGTAGACCAGGCTGGTCTCGAACTCACAGAGATCCACCTGCCTCTGCCTCCCGAGGGCTGGGATTAAAGGCGTGCGCCACCAACGCCCGGCTATGTTTTGCTTTTTAAAGTTTATTTATTAGCGTTTGTGCATTCGTGCATGATTCCTGTGTTTGGGCGGGCGTGCCATGGCACACATCTGAAGGTCAGAGGTCACCAGACTCCATGGAAAGCACCTTTACCCTCTGCTGGCCTCACACAGCTACCATATAAGGAACTAGAGGAGCTGGTGGCTCATAATTAACAATGCAGGCTGATCTTTCAGAGACCTGGAGTCTGGTTCCAGCATCCACATCAAGTAGCTCACAGCTGCCTGTCAACTCCAGTTCCAGGGAATCCAATGCCCTCTTCCTGCCACCAAAGGCACCCATAAACACGTGCACATACCGACACACGCACAAATAAAATACATCTTTTAAAAAAGGAAACCATGGAGATATGGCTCAGGGGTTAAAAGCACTGACTGTTCTTCCCGAGGTTCTGAGTTCAATTCCCAGCAACCACATGGTGGCTCACAACCATCTGTAATGTGGTCTGGTGCCCTCTTCTGGCACATACTGTATACATGATAAATAAATATTAAAAAAAAAAAAAGGAAACCATAATTCTTGCTGCTCACTAATGTGTCACCACGCTCTGTAAGGTCATGATGCTTTCTGCCTTGTGTGCCACACCCAGAATCCACCAGTAAAGACCTGCTGCAATCAAGTTACCTAACTGGATTCAACCAGCTATAACCATGAGACGAAACCAATGACTTTCCAAGGTCAGCAAGTGATGACCGACTTAATTCAACTATCAATCTACTAGACTCAACTAGTGAAGACCTACTAGATTCAACCACTGACCTACTACTAGACTCAACCGGTGACCAACCAGATCAAATAGGACACAGTAGAACTGACTATCGATCTGGAGACTTTGTATTGTTTTTTGTTTGTTTGATTTGGTTTAGTTTTGTGAGACAGGGTTTCTCTGTGTAATAGCCCAGGCTGTCCCGGAACTCACTTTGAAGACCAGGGAGTAGTGGCATACTCTCTCATCCCAGAACTCAGGAGGCAGAGGCAGGCAAATCTCTGAGGTCAAGGTCAGCGTGATCTATAAAGTGAATTTCAGGACAGCCAGAACTACACAGAGGAAACCCTGTCTCAAAAAAAAAAAAAAAAAGGGGGGGGGGGGAAGGAAGGAAGGAGGGAAGGAAAAGGAAACTAGGAAGTGAAGCTCCCTCATTAATCCGTCTAAATCCTACAAAGACAGGCAGACAGTGAAAGACAGCCAATGACGTTCTCTGCAAGGGTATAGAACACAGCAGAGGAGGCAAAAGGACACTCAGAGTCCAAGAGCAGTGGAACACCTCGGATTCCGTGAAACCAGAGTGGACTAATCTGAGAAAAGCAACTACAACTGGGAGGGTTCTAAACCTATAAAGGTGCCAGAGAGAATCCGGGCAAGTGCAGTCATCTAGTCTGTCAACTTCAGAAGCTAACCTTCTAAAGTGCCTTTCAAGGCCACAGAGAAGAACCAAAATAAACATGACACATTCTGGGGAAAGACTGTCTAGAGCAGTGGTTCTCAACCTTCCTGACGCTGTGACCCTTTAACACAGTTCCTCATGGAGTGGTGACTGCCAACCATAAAATTATTGTCATTGCTATTTCATAACTGTAATTTTGCTACTGTTATGAATTGTAATGTAATTATCTGTGTTTCCCAATGGTCTTAGGTGACCCCCTATGAAAGGGTGTTCTATCCACAAATAGTCACAACCCACAGGTTGAGCACGGCTGGTCTAAATCATAGTATTGATTGAGGGAAAGCAACCGTCTTATGTTTCATAGCAAGGCAAGGCAAGTTGGTTCTCTCCCTCCATCATGTGGGTCCCAGATGGAGCTCAGGCTGAAAGGCAGCAAAAACGCAGTTACTCTCTGAGCCATCTCGCTGGTCTACAAGTTTTATTTCTGTAATTTTTTATAGTGCATAAATAGTATTCTTTTGTAATTTAAACAATAAAAATTCCTTTTAGAAGTTACAACTATGCAAAACAGTGTCATATGACACAAGGAGATACACAGGAATGAACTGTCCTGATAAGCAAATTCAAGAAAGTGATACATACCAGTGGACTGAGGGAAGAGGCCCACAGGGAGCTCCAACTGCAGAGACTCACTTCACAGCTGTTGGTCACCATGGCCCCCTTCTCCACAGCCCCACCCCACCCCCGTCAGCTCCCATTACATGCACACGGTGCTGGGAGAGAGAACTACTCCTCTCCAAGCCCACTAATGCTCACTTGGGCCACTTGTCAGGACAAATGCCAGCGTGAAGCTGCATCTCCCTCCAGGACAGAAAGCAGGCTTGCTTGGCATGGACAACAGAAGTTATAGAGTCCCCAAGCTCAGCACTGCATCAGCCACTCACAGAGGCATCTGACCAGCCACATCATTTCACTCCTGGGGGCCTTGGGGATAGAGTGATTTCAGCCATTGCACTCACACTGCTTGCTAACCTCTGCAAATATCCATCTAACAGCAGCAGGCTACATTAGCTCCTAAATAATGTTTAAGTTCAGAAAAATGATATCCCAAAATATGACAACTGGCATGCTGACCACTTTCAGTTAGAAGCCCTAGAAAGACAGCAGATGCCCCAAGAGTCTCTAGTCTGACACTCCTTTAATCTGCTTGAAGAACAGTCACAAAGGGGGAAATGACACTTGGTCCCTTCTCTGAGTTTGTAAGCACACAGGTAGATTTTGTCACAAGCTATGCTATCTCCAAAACCAATTCAGTTCCTAAAGGGAATCATTTACGGGCTAGAGAGATGGCTCAGGCATGCAGGCAGAAGACGTAATAAATAAATAAAATCTTGAGAAAAAAAGAGAGAATCATTTACTATACACTCATAACTTGCAGTCATGAAGAAGGTCATAGGCGAACCATATTTCTGTGATTGTCCCTGAGGGTGTAAACACATGTGAAAACCATTCTCACCTACAGGTAGGTCCTTCCAGCAAAGCTGCAGAGAGTCAAGGGCAGGTTTTGCCTTTGTTCCACAATAGGATAAAATAAATTAAAAAAAAAAAAAAAAGGAATCCACTGACTTTAACATATGGGTTGACTGATTTTTAATTTAAAGTGTGTGTGTGTGTGTGTGTGTGTGTGTGTGTGTGTGTGTGTGTGTGTTTTCCTGGGAACTAAAGGCAGTTTATCTAAGCACTAAGCCTTAAAGCAGATCTTTAAAACCAACAAACTATGAACCAACTTTGTTCTTTAAATCATAGAGCTTTCTTCCCATGGATACTTCCCTCTGAAAACTAGCTTGCCACAGCATGGGGGGAAAGGGGATTCTTCTTTTACTGAAATGAATGCCTACCCACAAGCAAACAAAAGCAGGGTGAGAGGAAAAGTCCATCTACTCAAGCCAGGCATTGGTGGCCCACACCTTTAACTGCAACACTCAGAGAAATCTAATCAAAAGCAAGTACCTGAGCTGGGCATTGGTGGCACACGCCTTTAATCCCAGCACGTGGGAGGCAGAGGC